CACCCAGGTGGGATCAGCATGGTGTTGTGCTGGGTCCTGGGGCTGGAGTGGTGAATGAGACGGGCCTGGCTTGGGCCTCGTGGGAGGGCAGACTTGCACAGCACAAAGTCACTGTATCCAGGCTGGGGGAGGAACAGTAGCTAGCTACCAGCAACACCAGAGGGAGTGCGTGCTGGGCTGAATCGTGTCCCCCTAAATTCATGCCTAGAAGCCCTATCCCTCAGTCCCTCAGAATGTGATTTATTTGGAGATTAGGCCTTTCAAGTGGTACTTAAGGTTAAATGAGTAGGTTACGGGTGGGCCCTAATTCAGTGTGACTGGTGTCTGTATAAGAAGAGGAAATCTGGACTCGCAAAGAGACGCCAGGGACTCTCAGGCACAGAGGAAGGGTCATGGGAACACACAGGGAGGCTGGCCGATGACAAGCGAAGGAAGAGACGCCTCGGAAGAAACCAGCCCTGCTGACACCCTGACTTTGGACTCAGCCTCCAGAACTGGGAGGAAATAAATGTCTGGTGTTTAAGCCCCCCAGTCTGTGGTATTTTGTTATGCGGCCCGAGCCAACTAATACAGTGGGTGACGCTGAGAAGCAAAAAGATGCCATGTGAAAAAAAATAAGGTCAGCGCTGAAAAAAAAGGCAGATCAGCAAACTGTGCATAGTGGCAGATCCAAGATGATGGATTGAGAGTGTGGGGACTAAGAGAGGGCTGTGAGTAGGAAAGAGGAGAAAGAACGGTGCACTGATGTTAATCTAGCATTTTCTGTGACAGGCATGAAGGGCACATACGAAAATAAGGAAAAACCCCTGCCTAGCCAGACCTCACAGGCCAGCGAAGGAGGAAAAAGCTGAAACCTGGGGAAAGCACCAAAGAGGAAGGCAATAACTAACAAAAATGCCACAAGGGAATAATGCAAAAGTGCCTTAAAGCTATGCCTGATTCAGTACTCAGATCTGCAAGGAAGGGATGGCAGGGAGGCCCGTGTCTCGAGTAGGCTGGGGACTGGATAAAGTAGGAGCGTGGTTAAGGAGACTCTTCCAGGGCAGAGAGGAGGGCGAAGGGAGGGAAATGACCTGGAAAAGCAAAACGGAGGCAATCTAAAGGAAGGCCAAGTCAGGCAGTCTGCGAGTGATGCTATCTTTGAAATTGTCACTGTTGCAGAGCTAAAGTGCGTCAAATCAGAGCCAAGCTGACGGAACCAGGTCAGATGCATTGATGCTACTCGTAGCACTGTACAGCATCAACATCAAAAAATAGGAAAGAACGTTAGGGAAATACACTGAGTAGCAAAACTCCACGGCCTGCGCTGCAGGAGTCAGCTGTCAAAAGCAAGGCCACGGGAGAAGCCAGAAGATTAAGGAAACTAAAATGGGGCCTCTCTCTGCCCATCTGGGGAGAACAGTGAAGGGGAAATTCAAGGCCCACTGAGCCAGAGGGATCCCGGCTCTGCTTGAAGTCGCACGGTCTTAGGGCCTCTCCAGCAAAGAGACTGAGGAAACACAGCAAAAGGAAGAAAGTGAGTATCACAGCAGATTCCAAAATTATAAAGCCTGACCTTGGTGACTTAAAATATCCTGGAGGGACTTCCCTGGTGGCGCAGTGGTTAAGAATCACCTGCCAATGCAGGGGACACGGGCTCGAGCCCTGGTCCGGGAAGATCCCACATGCCACGGAGCAACTAAGCCCGTGCGCCACAACTACTGAGCCTGCACTCTAGAGCCCGCGAGCCACAACTACTGAGCCCGCGTACCATAACTACTGAAGCCCGCACGCCTAGAGACTGTGCTCCACAATAAGAGAAGCCACTGCAAGAGAAGCCCACACACTGCAACGAAGAGTAGCCCCCGCTCGCTGCAACTAGAGAAAGCCCGAACGCAGCAACGAAGACCCAGTGCAACCAAAAATAAATAAATAAATTTATATAAAATAATCATTTCTATATACTAGCAACAAAAAATGAAGATGAGTGCAAAAAATTTTTTTAAATCCTGGAAAAGTTCCAGGTACCATAAGTTAAGCTGGCTCAGTATCAACATCATATTAACACAGGAGCAATAATGTCTCATCAAGCAAAAAAATAAAATGTTTCTGTGATGCAAATCAAACACCGTTGTTCTCTGATTTTTTTTGTCCCCCCTATACTCCTCCTCTATGGCCAGTGAAGGAGGACAGGGGTGGGAAAAAGTACGAGCGCACAGAAATCCAACTATAAAGGCATTTCCCTCCTACTGCCTTGATGGAGTAAAAGCAAGAGAAGCCACGTTCTCACAGTTCCTCAACTTTCTGTTCATGTAAACAGTCTCACTCGATTTTTGAATTACTCTGTGGGAACAGATGGCTTCCAAATGTATGACTTCTTACTACAGTTTATGGAAGCAATACTACTGAACTCTGAAATTAAGATGAAGAAAACACAGACATGCTTCAAGCTTGCATCTTTATTGGCAGGCCTAGTTTTCCTGAACTAAGGCTTACATGGAATCCTGACTTCCCGTATTTTTTCTTTTCTTTCTCCCTTTTTTTTTCTTTTTTCGTTAAACAATTCACACGACACACACAAAAACTTGTCTGAAATATAACAGCAGCTGAAAATTCTGCGGCAAAAAGAATTCCATGCCACAAAAAAAAGCAGCGGTAACAGAGGCCTCTAGACTTCCTATAAATTATACATAAACAAAGGCATCAGATATGTAAATATAGCTGGGTTTTGGGTCTTACATCCTTAAGCCTTTCATGATAGATTGTAATTTTATATTTGAAATAAACACTGCAATTAACACCAAATTACCTTAATTCCAACAAGTGACACAGTCACTGAAACAGTTCACAAATGGTGATCTTGGTGGCAGTACCAGGTCAAAGCCCAGGCCAGTTTTCCCGGATGTCTTTCTAAGGCAGAAGTCTAATTTTCCAAAATGCTAAACCAAATCTGGAAAGTAGCATCACAGACAGGTGTTTGTGAGGCACAGACAAAATTTCAAGTCAGGTGGTCTGACTGATGAACCCATAAATACCTTAAATAGAGTTCATAGCAGTTCTGCCATTTCAATTGCCAAGTCTCTGAAAAAGCATACTCAATACGGCACCTGGGGGAGATGACTCTGGGAAGAGATGAAGAGAAAGTAAATGCTGCCCAGCCTAAAGATAAAACATCTTTATACCTATATCTCTATAGAAATTTATAGAGCAAATGAAAATTTTGGTGCAAAAAAAATACTTTCATGCAACAAAAGAACTGTAGCAATGAGAGATGCCTCTAGACTTCCTATAAATTATACATAAATAAAGGCATCAGATATGCAAATATAATTGGGCTTTCTTTTTTGGTTAAGCAAGTCACACACCTACATAAATTTATATAGATATAGATATATACCTATAAATACAGGTATATAAGTATACCTATAAACATAGGTAAATAGATATACCTATAGATATAGGTAGACAGATATAGGTAGGTAGGTAGACAAACAGATATGAAAAAGGGGAAAAACAGAAAAGTACACACAAAAGAAGGAAACAATTTATGCTTAAATAAGTAATGATGAAGCTGAGTAACAGGACAGAAAAAGCCTTTGTTCACACCAGTAGGACAGCAAGAGCAAAAGGAAATTAACCTCTGCACTGATCAACACCAACATGGATTTCAAAAGGTATCTACCCTTTAAATGCTTACACCAAAGAACTGCTAAACCACAGCATGAAAAATTTAAGTTTGCAACAAAACTCAAAAAAAAAAACTTAGTCAACAATCGAAGTTAAAAATTTTAAATAGTGGGGTGTGCCGAATTTTTGCCTAATAACATACGCTCACCAAAAATCAAATAAGATGTCGCAGTGGCTGACAAACAATCCGGTAGAATCCTTTCAGTGATGAAGGTCAAACCTTAGGCTGACCTTATAAACTGGCACAGATCAAAAATGACCAGAGGTTTTGCTGCCTATGGTTGTACGCTGTTATTCTAGAAAGATGGTAAGTGTGCTTCTGCCTTCTCAATAAAGAGCAGCCCATAATGCAAGCAATGAGAATAGAGGTATGTTTGTGGAGATTGCTTCCGCCACCAACAGAAACGTGGAAGAGCACATCTGGATATGGTTCAGAGACACCATATATATGGAGTCTTAGTAGTTCTAACAGCTTTTACTATTAGAAGTCCTCTGCATTGAAACTGATCAACAAGCAAAAAATAATAATAGGAAGGAAAAGGATGTGACTCATTGTTTATGAATGAAGTATTCAGAATATATGTCATTAATATAGTCCTTTAAATAATGACTACCACAATAAACAATCATTACAGCAATGACTAATAAATTTAGTTCAATAGCAGAAGCATAATTTGAAACAAGATATAACTATAAAAGAACACACGTTCTACGAAAACACATGTGATTTCAAGTTTCATTACATTTGTAATGAAAAATCTTTATGACCGAAATGGAATGGTTTTTGAGACCAAATAGATATCACCAAGTCCTGGGTGCATCCCAATGACTAAAGGATGCTAATATCCCAAGGATTCGGTTGCTACAGGATGGGAGTGGGGCGGGGGAAAGTCAGGCTTCAGCAGATAAGCCTGCCCACAAATCTCAGAGAAGATTCTTTGCCTCTGTAGACACTGGAGAGAGGTATCTCAGACAGACTAGGGCATCAGTCCCACAGGCTGACACATCCCAGGCCTCAGCCATCCCCAGCATCCTCAAAGGGTCCTAAGAGCCCTGTGCTCTGTTACCTCATTACATGGTGACAGTGGGGTGGGAGAATGTGACCAGAAGCACAGGCCTGAATGCCCTCTCTTACTGTTTTATTCTCAGCAAGTCTCAGGCTGTCAGGTTCTCACTCCACACGTTCAAACCATCTTTCCCACCACAGAATGTGCCATCCTACAAAACCTGACCCAAATCCCACCTCTGCTATGAGTCTTTCCTAACTCATTTAACTGAAATGGCCTTTTAGTTCCTGAATTTTGCAATGTCTATCTACGCTATTGGCATCTCACCTTGACCTGCCTTGAGAGTCCCGTGGCCTCCTGGACCTGTCGTGGCGCTCCTGTCGTGTCTTACACTTTGCACCTCCTCCAGCACCTGCACTGGCACATACAGGACCTCGATGAGTATTTGTCCCCCACGCTGGGGGAGCCCTTCATTTCCCATATAGACTTTTCTGCTTCAAGCCACCCCAAAAAGATACTGGCAATGACACAGCCCTCCCTCTCCTTAATGAGAGCAACTTTCAACAACTGTTCTGCATATCAAATCCAAGAGCTTCCTTTTTATTTTCTAGGACCTCCTGCAATCAGCCTGAGACAGACACTTTCTTTTCTTACTCCTCTTTTCAATCTGCTTTATAGTTCCTCTGGAACTTCCTTAACCCAAAATGACACTATTTAAAATATTAGCACTAGGGACTTCCCTGGTGGCTCAGTGGTTAAGAATCCGCCTGCCAATGCAGGGGACACAGGTTCGAGCCCTGGTCCTGGAAGATCCCACATGCCGCGGAGCAACTAAGCCTGTGCGCCACAACTACTGAGCCTGCGCTCTAGAGCCCGAGAGCCACAACTACTGAGCCCACGTGCTGCAACTACTGAAGCCCGCGCACCTAGAGCCCGTGCTCCGCAATAAGAGAAGCCACCACAGTGAGAAGCCCGCTCCCCACAGCGAGGAGTAGCCCCCGCTCGCCGCAACTAGAGAAAGCCCGTGTGCAGCAACGAAGACCCAATGCAGAAAAAGAAAAGAACACATACACTAGAGTGAAACCATCAGAGTTCAATCCCTGATTCACCATTTAAGTAGGGCTATGATCTTCAGCAACTATTACTCAACTCTCCCCAGCTGTACATGATGATCTGAATAGCTTCTACCAAGGACCCGGCAGGATAGTGCCGGGCAGGATAGTGCAGACACACACCCGGTGCTCATTGTGGCTCTTTTGTTCAGGTTTCTCCCATTCAGCCAGTGTCACCTGTTCCACCACACCCACGTGGATCAGCCTTTCTTTCCCCTTCTCACCTGCAAAAAGACTAGACCCTGTTACAACCAAACTATTTTCACTCAAATATGAATAAATCGATAGGCTCAAAGTGAGGGGGAGAGCCTGAGAGCTTTTTTCCTCTGAAAAATATGTATGCACTTGATTGACAGAGCTTAAACGTCTACTGAGCAGCCCAGGGCCTCTATGTTTCTGTGATTGCATCTGGGGTTTCACAACTCCTGTCCAGATAAGCTACATTGCCCAAGAGTGCAGTTCTGCTTAGGTGGGCTGCCAGAAGAGTTACTTTTACAAGGCATAAACCAAATGGTCTGTATTATACAACTGAACAGTGAGAAAAAGCTTTCCATGTCACTCGCTGTCTTCCAAAATTTATGAAAAAGTCCACTTTACATCTTAGGTCTTTAAGGATCTTCATATGTCCTTCTGATCTTAAGAGATATTCTGTAAACTAAATTTTAACCCCAGAGAAACCACTGTCTTTATTGTATATGTTACTGTTCATACACTCCACTCTACTAAAACTCTTTATATGCAGGAAATGTCAACACTGTGCAAACGGAGGTAATTTTAACTCTTGCTTTATTTTGAGTTTTGCTCTTCCAAATAAGGAACAGTGCTCGGTAAATAGAACAAAGGGCAGAATACATTTGGTTGACACCCAGCTTTGACCTGAGGCAAAGATGTTTTTGCAAAAGTAACTCTTTAACACATTCAGGTACTGAAATTTCATGTAAAATAGCTGTCTACATTGAATTCTCTTTATCTTTATAGGGTTTTCCTAACTTTTCTACAAACTTCAGTGACACTCCGCCTCCCGTAATTAACACTGCCTTTTTTAACAGCAAGTTAAGCCTCCAAGTTTTAACTAGTTAGAATTTTCTGAGCATCAAACACGCGCAAGTGGGGTTCATAATTTTAAAACCTGCGGAACTCACAACCACAGCTCGCCACAAGCAAGCAAGAGAGAACAAAATATTTTTAAGCACTGCCGTGCCTCACATGGTAAGGCCTTCACTGAAAGAGGTGGTCCCTGCTTTTAAAAGCATGGGTCTTGGGCTTCTCTGGTCGCGCAGTGGTTGTGAATCTGCCTGCCAATGCAAGGGACACTGGTTCGAGCCCTGGTCAGGGAAGATCCCACACACCCTGGAGCAACTAAGCCCCTGAGCCACAACTACTGAAGCCCGCGGGCCCTAGAGCCAGTGCTCTGCAACAAAAGAAAAGCCCGCGCACTGCAATGATACTCACCCCAACTAGAGAAAGCCCAGACAGCAACGAAGACCCAAGGAAGCCAAAAAAATTAATTTTTTTTAAAAAAGCGCGGGTCTTCTCCAAGAAATGCCAACAGAGCAGTTCACCCATCTTGAAATAAACGTCAGCATAACTGAATTAGAGGAACAACTTTCAATGCCCCCACCCTGAACGACAAACACATATTATTATTGGTCATGCCAGCTCCATTTTCTGCAGTCATATCCAATCCTTCCACAGCTCACTGTACACTCTACAGCAAAAGGGAAGTCGAACTTAACAACGGACTTTTTTTTTTAAGTTAATGATTCAGGCAATTCTTGGAATAACTTCCACTTGAGAAAATGCAACTAAGAAGTCCTATCAAGAGACTCCCCAGCTGTTGACAGCTCGACTCTGGAAATTCCCTCCTTTATGCCCATTTCTGACTATCCCTGAATCCAAATTACAAAGTTTAATGACCCTTAAGAGCCCTTTTTGCCTCCAGTGAACTCAGAACTCTGTCTAAATATTCGTTAGGACTCAATAAAAGTTTATTGAATTAAAGGAGGGGAGCATTAGAAACCTAGCTCCAAAAGGCAACTGTCTGCCCCCTCCCCCGAACCCCTCTTCCCGCAGGAGAGGAAACTGGGAGATCTGGAGCTGACAGTCATGCCGTCCAGGATCCTAGGGGTCTGACACTCGGCCCTTGATGTGATGACAGCCACGAGGTCTGGGCGGTGGTTCCAAAACGGGGCACCCACTGCTCTGGGAAATGCTGGGCGCTTGCCAAGATACAAACCCTCCCCCAAGGAGCTGAAACCGGACGGTCGGGAACCGAGTCAGTTCTGTAGGGATCCCAAGGCCTGAATCGCATTCCAGCAGCCTCCTTCCTGTTTATAGATCCCACTCCAGTAACTCCAACTACCAAAGAGAAAGCAGACCTCTCAGAAATATGTCAACACATGACATAACTTGAAAAGGCTGTATGCTCACTGACGCGAGTTGCAACTTGTCGGGCTCACGAAGGAAAACCGGCTCACTTTAATTATTCTTTTTTTTTTTTTTAATATGCCATGCCGTCTCTTTCCAGGGCCCCCGCAAATTTCGGGTTACTGAGAAGTAGGTAGCCTCGGTAGCAGGAACCAAACCGCGTGGGCGGTGAGCTAGAGGCAAAGAACCGGGGAGCCGACCGCCCCCCCCCCCAGCAAAGTGGCGGCGATTCGGTTTCGCTGCGATTTGGCGGCCGCTCCTTCCTCGCACAGGCGCAGGAAGGAGAAGCCTCGGCACCTCCTCGCAGTCGGCACCAAGTCGCTGGAGCGCTCAGTGATGTCGCGGCGGGGGCCTCGCGGCACCGCGCCGATGCCCTCGGGTCGGCGGAGGGCGCGCCACCTTTGTCTAGGTTTCCTCACCAGGACGGGCGACGCCTCGACGCAAAGCGGAGGCGCAGACACCGCGGCCGGGTTCCCAGCCTCTACGCGGGGCCCAGAAAACGGCCGCGGCCGCCTGAAACCTCCCACTTTCACTGCGCGCACCGGGCGCGCCCGCAAGTCCCAGCCCGGCGGCCACTTCCCCCACACGGCCGCCGCGGGTGGGGAGCCGGAGACCCACGCGCTCCCACACGCTAGCGGGCCGAGCGTCCCGGAGCAGCCCGGCTCTCCCGGCGCCGCAGCGCCCACGCGGGTCCCTTCCTCGGGAGAGCACGGGCCGTTGGTCCCTCAGCAAGGCCAGATCTCAGACTGGCTACCGCGTCGGGAAAGGGAAGACAGCCAGCCAGAGAGCCACCCACGCCCACTGCCCGCCCTCGGCCTTCTCTCACCTGCCTGCACCGTGTCCGAGAGGTCGTGCGCGGGGGCCGCCGTCCTGGGAAATTCCTTCAGTTTCCTAGCACTGAGGTTCAACCCCCCGGAGTTGGCCGCTTCCTCCAACGCGCGCTCCAGCCCCCGGTTCAAGGGCAGGTTGAAGCCCCCGCCGCCGCCGCCGCCTCCTCCGGCCCCGCCGCTGCCTCCGGCTCCTCCGTGGTGCTGATGGTGGTGGTGGGGGGGATGATGATGGGGGTGCAGAGTAGCCACTGACAGGGCGGGGACGAAAGGTTGGGGTTCACTTCCCGGCGTCGCCATCTTCTCCCGGGCCCCCCACCCCGCCCTGCCGCTCCTGCGGGGGGGGGTCACAGCTTTCCCCCGGGTCGGGGAGACGGCAGCCCGGGCCGAGTCCCTGCAGTCCTCCACCGAGAGATGCTGGAAGAAGGGGAGGAGGGTGTGGGAGGCACGCGGAATGGGGGGGGGGGGGGTGAGAAGGGGAGGCGGCAGCGGCAGCTCGGTCTCGAAGCTTTCCTGTCCCTGGCAAGCTGAGGACTGCGGCGGCGGCAGCAGCGGCGGCAGGCAGCGCGCATGTGTCTCCTCCCGCCTCTGCTCCCTCCTCTAGGCGGCTCTCCCCTCCTCCGCCGCCTGCTCTCTCCTCCTCCTACCCGAGAGCCGTCAGTCTAGCCCCGCGCCTTCCTCCGCCGCCCGCTGCGGTGGCCCTGCTGCTCGGCCCAGCTATCCGGGGACGTGGGGGGCTGGATGCCGTGAGGTCACGGGGAGGTGAGAGGTTATCTCAATTTTGCAAATTATTCTGGTTATTTGACCCAGAGTTCCCCGAGAGGCAGTTTTTCACTGTGGGGTCAGGCCAACAGACGACCCCTGGCATTTGGGCACCTACGATGAGCCATTCGCTGGTCCAGGTGGTCTGCATTCGTGACCTCATTAATCCAGGGACCCCGTGAGCGGAAAAATTGTTTCCCCCAGGCCACAGAGGAAGTTAAGAAACTCCTCTGAGGGCTTCCCTGGTGGCGCAGTGGTTGAGAGTCCGACTGCCGATGCAGGGGACACGGGTTCGTGCCCCGGTCCGGGAAGATCCCACATGCCGCGGAGCGGCTAGGCCCGTGAGCCATGGCCGCTGGGCCTGCGCGTCCGGAACCTGTGCTCCGCAACGGGAGAGGCCACAACAGTGAAAGGCCCACGTACCGCAAAAAAAAAGAAAATAAAGAAACTTGTCTGAGTTCACCCATGCAGTCAGAGGCGGAGCCTTCAGACTCTAGGGTTACCCTCCTTCCTGTAAACGCCCTCCCGGGCCGCACCTCGCTGCAAACAAATAGGAGTAAGGCAGAGGGTTTTCTGAGCGATGGCAGAAAACTACAGACACGGAAAGGAAGGACTTTTCAAAATGCAGGTCGTTTTTATGGCGGACAGAACCCATTGTCCTATGAGGAAGAGGGGCTGGCTGTGGCTGGCTGAGCCCAGAATTGGGTGGGGCTGGAAAGGTCAGAAAGTCAGTGACCCCAACTAGCCAATAACTCAGTCACAGTTGGAGCCTGCGCACAGGTACCGTCAAGGTATCCTTGTGCGCTTCCTCTAGCCCCTGTGGGGCGTGGGAGCTGATGTGTCCGCCTGCAAGCGAATTCATGTTCTGCCCAGACCAACGCTGGCACACCAGGGGAGACAGAACATCTGACAACATAAGAGCAGACCAGCTGGAAGATTAATAAAGTCCCACTCCTTTCCGAAGTTTTGGCTCCAACTCTCTAGGGCCTTTATTTTTGCTCTATACCCAAGGTTTGAGCAGCGTCCCTGTGAGCAACTTAGCTAGGGGAAGTGAGGATGCGGGTCAGTACAAAAATAATTCAACCCTTGGAGTAGAGGAGGCGGTTTTTTAAGTGGTGATGCAGAAACGTGGTGGCCTGAGCACCAGGCTGGATCTAAAGTACCGCGTGCGTAGTACTTTAGATTGCGTACTATTGTACTATTGACTGCGTGCATAGTACGTAGCCCTTGAGTCCTACAGGATTCTAGGATGAGTCCAACATTGTAACCTCAGAGGAGGAGACAAGCGCCACCTGCTGGTAGCCTCCCCGGAAACCTCTTCCCTCATCAACTTTTTCTCCTCTGCCTCCCAGACTTTTAAAAGCCAGGCTTGAAAATAATGATGATAATGATGATGATGAAAGGGCAAGTGTACTTGTAAAAAATAACCTACCATTCCCTTTCCTCACTGGCCTTTTCCCAAAAAGCCAGTGAGAAACAGAGAAACACAGAAAAAATTTTCATTTGAAAGTCTTCAGCTAAAACCAGGTGGTAGTCTGTGTGATCAGTATGCAGGGTATGGTTGAGGACATCTTCTGGCGACTGCAAATGTAATTCAGACCGTGAATTGTGGTGTTGCATCATATAGAGCATAATTCTTTTAGGACCACAAACTCTTTTTTAGAGGAAAAGATGGGATATAAGTTCAGGATTTGCTTTGTAGTAATCTGTTCTTATGTTAGGTTGACCTTGTTATTATAGCTTGCTTTATCTTCTCCAGATTACTAAAATGTAAACTCCTTGAGGGAGGGACTTATTCATCTTTGCAACTTCTTCCCCATATCCCAGAATCCAAGAGTACTTTGCATATGAGTGCACAATGAAGATTAGTAATTAAGCATTGCACAATAGACCAGGTGTTTTACAGGCTGCCATTTGTTGATGCATCTTACAAATGATGTCCTTGAATGAAGGAATTTTTCCTTCAAATGGGGGAGAGGACTTTACCCTTGAAAGTGATCTTGGTTATTCATAAATATTCAAGAAACTTGACAAGCCACTTTCTCTTGCTGTCTTGTTTCTTCACTAGTTTTTTAAGAAGGTGGACATTTCTGCTTTGTTCAATACCCTTTTTATTTCTTCTGAAAACAGAACCCTCTTCCTGTTTGACTCTCCCCCCACCCTACATATAGTCCTCTGATAACAGCTGTGTTATTACGTCGACCCAGCTAACCATCTTGGTTATTCCAGAAGTGGCCTTCTGACCATATGACGGAACACCCAGAGGATCCGAGGGTCCTGATTTTGTCCAAACCCTAGATTCTGACTGTTCCTAATTCACATCTTTAGTTTCTGTGAGATAGCTAGTAATGTATTGATAATACATTCTGCTGTTTGCCTAAGTCAATTTTATTTGGTTTTCGGTCAATGCAGCGAAGGGTTCTGATTAATATATTTAATTTACCACGTTTTAGTCTTTATTCCCCCTTGTTTTCCTATATAGCCTCATTTGTGGATTGTCCACAAATAACCTTTTACAAACTATTTGGATGATGGCAGCAGATTCTTTCCATGCTTTGTCTTTAGTACCTTCCAATCATTCAAAGTTAACAGAATTCACATGATTGAGAAAATGGAAATATTTCCTGCTTAAAATATTAGCTATTAGTAGAAAATTGATCAGTTTCATCAATAAATCAAAACATTTTAGAACCTATCTTTTTTTAATTCTTGTGCTCAGAAAACGTATCAGGTCACATAGAGCCTTCCACATTTAAGACCCAGCTCTTTTATTCTCACCTGAAAATGGAGTTGTGGACAGGCTTATAAGAATCAAACTTATGGGCTTCCCTGGTGGCGCAGTGGTTGAGAGTCTGCCTGCCGAGGCAGGGGACACGGGTTCGTGCCCTGGTCCGGGAGGATCCCACGTGCCGCGGAGCGGCTAAGCCCGTGAGCCATGTGTGGCTGAGCCTGCGTGTCCGGAGCCTGTGCTCCACAGCAGGAGAGGCCACAACAGTGAGAGGCCCACGTACCACAAAAAAAAAAAAGGAAGAATCAAACCTATTAAGAATAACATATAGATTTGAGCAGGGCTATTCAGCCCATATCACCTTCTCAGAAAATCACTGGGAATTATCTTTTGGAGAGTGATCAAAACATTTGTTCAAGAAGTGGGCATGGTCAGCCAGGTGTGTCTTTTTTTTTTAATTGAAGTATAGTTAGATTTACAATGTTGTGCTAGTTTCAGATGTACAGCAAAGTGATTCCGTTTTATATATATATATATATATGTATCTATACATATATATATTCTTTTTCAGATCCTTTTCCATTGTAAGTTATTACAAGATATTGAATATAGTTCCCTGTGCTATACAGTAGGTCCTTGTAGATAGTAGTGTGTATACGTTAATCCCAAACTCCTAATTTATCCCTCCCCCCGACCCCCCCACTTTCCCCTTTGGTAACCATAAGTTTGGTTTTTATGTCTGTGTGTCTATTTCTGTTTTGTACATAAGTTCATTTGTATCATTGTTTTAGATTCCACCTATAAGTGATATCACGTGATATTTGTCTTCCTCTGACTTACTTCACTTAATATAATCTCTAGGTCCATCCATGTCACTGCAAATGGCATTATTTCATTCTTGTTTTATGGCTGAGTAATATTCCATTGTATATATATACCACATCATCTTTATCCATTCATCTGTCGATGAACACTTAGGTTGCTTGCGTGTCTTGGCTATTGTACATAGTGCTGCTATGAACTTTGGGGTGTGTGTATCTTTTCTAATTGGAGTTTTCTCTGGATATATGCTGAGGCAGGTGTGTCTTTCATGGTCCTGACTGCCCCCTCCAGCCACAGGGTGGATAAGTGCGTCTACCAACTCTCCTGAAAATTTAAGCAAAAGCACTCCAAAACCATAGGCAATTAACAACAGGCATTTGACCCCAAAGGCAGGAAGAATCAGGGCTTATTTATATCTTTTACCTTGATATATTCCAACCTCTCAGCTTTGGTTTCCTCTTTCCTAAAAAAGGAGAAAGAATATTCCCTGACTAACACCACCCTTTTTACTCTCTCCACACTCTCTCAGTACAAAAGTTTTCTCTTTGTACTGTATCTGTAAATATTTATCAGTAAATATGTATCTGTAAATGATCGGGGTACGTAGTTTGTATTCATTAGCCTTTAAGTACATCAGATGCCGAGCTCAGTCCTTTTTTTCCTAGAAGAGTCAAT